TTGTAGACTCAGCCCATTTAGACCCACATCGGATGTGTTCTGGCGATTTACTTCTGATTTGGCAGGGTTTATCCTGGATGCATAGAAGGGTTGTCAGACCGCTGCAAAGCATTTTTGACATCTCCAACTAGTGCATTATTACGTTGAAGTCCAAACTTATCTACATCCCATCGCGATTTCCAACTGCAGCAACGGAGTCGCTCAAACTCGGAGGTAAGTCCTCCCTGCGAGTACCCCAGTCGCTCTCCTTGTCCCCGAGTGTCAGCTCCAGCGTCATACCCCGAGTAAAGAACTCGTGTCCAATCCAGCTCTTGGTGTATGGCTTTCCGTCCAGCCTAGCACTCTGGATATAGATCTTCTTGTAGGTTTTGTCGAAGTTAACATTCCGAATGGTAGCAGTTTGATTAGTTTCAGGATGAGTGATTGCGACGGCCTCAAAGAACGGAGGAATAATCAAGTACACATTTTGACCGGGATTCGGGAAGAGGCCCATCAAGCTCCATGCCAGGAATGATCCCATGGCTCCCGAATCGTCGTTGCCAGGTAGCCCGTTGTGCGTAGCGTTGAACGAAGATGGGATGTAAGCGTGAGCCCGGCTGGCGGACAGACCAGGGCGGCCGGCGTAGTGATAATCGTACACGGTCAAGAAGACAGGTTCATTGCCCATGTCTGCCAAGCCAGAGGTGTGGAAATAGTCCAAGCGAGACACGAAGGACTTCGGCCCGCCGACCATCTTGATCAACTTTGCCATGTCATGGGGGACAAAACTATATAGGATTAGCGTTGGAGGGTTATTTGGAAGAAATATATACGCACAATAGGTACTCCCAGATGCTGGACTCGAATGTCTCTGAAGGGTTTGAGGTAAGAGAGCACCATGACGCTAGAGCACTGCAGGCAATAGGATCCTGATAGCCCCAAGTTCCGTTGATGTACCTTGGCTGAAAGAAACCAGTAAAGCCAGTATCAGTTCCATTCCCCAGTAGTGACTTCTGGTCCTCTTTGTATAAGTTTTGCCAGTTGCCAGACCGAGACAAATAAGTGGTGTAATCTTTTTTGCCGAGGCCCTTGGCGATAACTGATAGGGCGTAGTCATTGTATGCGTACTCCAGCGTTCGCGAGATACTCCGTGAATTGGTTCCAAAGCCAATATAGTCGAAGTCCAGATATGGGATGTAGTTGAGGTGTTTCCAGCTCTGCAGACCTCCTCGCCCTTCATATGACCATTCAAGTGGCTCGTTCTCTGCATCATTAACCATAGCTTTGTAGGCAAGTTCCCAGTCAATACCCGTGAGATTCTTCACGTAAGCATCTGCGAGAACAATATCGGCATTAGAACCTCCTTGCGTCCAACCTTTGCAGAGACTCATGCGGCAATCGGGCAGCCATCCTTCGTGTTTGAAAGTGTCCAACAAGCTACGGACCATCTTTGACTGTGCCTTTGGGTCGATGATTGTGAGGAATGGATGCTGCGCCCGGAAAGCATCCCATAGGCAGTAGAATGAGTCAAAGTATGGCTCATCGCTTTTCCACAGTGGATTCTCCCCAGTCAGATCTTGAGGCGATAGCATGGTTCGGTAGATACCACTCCAGAAACTGCTGATCATGTCTTTGCTGGCCCCACCTGGCGTGACCTTGATAGGACTGAGCTTCTCCTCCCATGCAGCCTCTGCACTTTTACGCAGATGATCGAAGGCATCTTCCGGTTGAGGCACTTCCGCTTCGGCATTTTTGCAGGCTTGATCAGAGCTAACAAAGCTGACGCCCACCCTCACAGTCACGACTCCATTTTTCGGACGATCAACGGCCATATAGCCCCCGGCTTGAAGGTAGAAGTTGTTGAAGCCGCGAGTGACAAATAACTCCTGCACTGATCCAGCTCGGTCATTGACCCATATTCCACTGTCATCGACCTCAGCATCGCCAAAATCAGCACAGAAATATGATTTGTAAGATCCAGAGCCGAAGCTCGGCAAGAAAGTACCATTGCCTTTGATTCGACCTTTATCAGCATCAAGGCTAATGGAAGCATTCTGTCGACTATCCCACAGATCAGTTAGATCCACTGAGATCAAAGGGTTCAGGTCATCTCCATCCGCCGTCCGTCCCTTTGGGAAAGTGAATCGATATAACGCCGTGCGCCGGGCCGCAGTCATCTCAGCCTTAATGCCGTTCTCGAGGGTCAAGGCAAAGTACCCAGGCTGCGCAACGACCGAGTCATTCTTGTAGCGAACCGCGCGAGCAGCTTTAGGGAATTTGCAATTATCCACGATATTGTCTTTACAGTACTGCGGGAACAGAGGAAAATTGCCCATAGACGGGTTCCCGCCTGTGCCACTGTCATGCATATGGGAGAAGCCGGTGACGTTGCTCCCATCAGTCGAGAAACCTCCAGTATTCTGGCCGTCGACGTCAGCGACAGGTTTTGCCATGCCATAGGGAAGGCTTGCGCCTGCGAAGACATTGCCGCCATTGGTTGACCCGATCAAAGGATTGACGGAGTGGAGGTCATCCTGAGTTGCTACTGTACTCAGGGCACATTGGAGAAGTAGGAGGCTGTACAGTGTATTCCTCTGCAAAATCGCCATGGCACTCTGGAATGTGAGGGTCGATACACGCGTAATGACGCGTTGGGTTTGTTGATCTGGGCTGTGAGGAATACGCTGGATGCAGAAGGCGGGAAGAAGGAGCGAGCGCCTACCCTGCAAGGAGAGTGTTTTTCATATCACCGTGCTGTAACGTCGCATGCCTGTGCGATCGACGACCTAAATAGTGTTAGTGTTGAATGTCAGAGAAACATTTGGGTGCGGGGTTAAAGTTGCGCGTTGTATGAATAGCCTTTCAGATCATGTTAAGATATTGACTGGAGTTACGTTGTAGCTGTTGGCAATTAAAATCAAAATCATTTATAAGCATAGCCTCTTATTTGAGACTTCACTGGATTCAATCAGTGTAAAGGAAAAGTACACAGTACTACCTAGTTCGGTATGTATGGCTCGATAAATATCACCTTGATCCTCTCGTTGTATACAAAGCCTCACTTCTCCCCTCCAACATAAGCAAAGAGGTTCCATTTAAGCTATAGTGCAATAGTAAAGCTTTCTCAAAGGTGATTTTCAAGAGTCCGACATTCTGTCGCTTTCTATTCTAAAGGTAGGGCTATCTCTATGTGGCACCCAGATAATACTACTGGTTCAATGCTAACAATACTGAACTATTGAGCGGTTTCGTCATTTTCATTTTGGAGATTCAATTTTAGTTTGGCTAAAGTAAGTCATGGAATTAATATGATGGCTCAACGAGTCTGGCAGCGTGAAGCCATAGGCCACGTTGCTTTTCGAACTGTTGGATATCCTTGGCAGACATTGGGCCTTGCCAAAAGCTGGCCCATGTGACTACTAATCACTTATTTAATTCACATCACAAGTTTGGTATTATTTATATCTCATGCGGCCGAGTAACTGATGTATTAACCTGAAGGCACACAGCCGAGAGAATGACAAAAAATCCGAGTAAGCTCGAGGTCTATGCAATCCCAAGTTTCGTAAACGCCATTCTGTAGTGGGTTTCATGGGAAGATGATGTTTAGACCACTGGCTCTGAACCGTGAATGGCGGGAAAGCAGCTGTCAGCCCTGCACTTAGGCTCTTGGCACTCATGGCACTTGCCATTGTTAAACTATGGTAAGTGTCGACCATATTCTAGGCTGTACTGCCTAATGAAGATGTAAACATTCCCCTCGGCGAATAATATGATTGTACTCCGTAGTCATAGGAATTATACATGGAGTATTAAACCAGAAAAAGCCAGATTGGTAACCCCACACTGCTAATGAAAAAGGGCACTGACCGTTCCTGATAGATCTCTATCTTGGAAGGGTAGATAAATATGTATAATAACACGGTGATGGCACCAATCAAGCAACCGATTAAAGAGAGAAAAATATGACCGGAATCCCCCCAAAGCCGTAGATTGAAAGACCCAGGGGAAAAAAGTAAAGGATGAGAAGAGTGCGAATCCAGTAGAATCTTTTCGTTATCAGTAGCCACTTGACTGCCAGGAACTTTTGGTGGCGTTGCTCGGGTGGATCTTTCGGCAGAGTCTTTCGGGATAACTTTTAAGACAAGGAATACTTAGAAAATGCTTGGATTAGCTTAAGTGAAATAGAAATAGGATGGGGACTTGGCAAAAGCTTATGCTCAGACTTCTGTAACTTCCAAGGTTCGGTAGAGCACAGAAATTGAAACAATTGCTCTTCCATAGTTTAGTTCTCTCTACACAGACAAATTAAATACTCTTCGGAATCGGGTTTGTCATGGTGATTGAGAAAAGAAAAAATAAGCCGATAAAGTCATGGACTCCGTCGGAGCAGCATCCTCCGATAGTGTTGGTTTTAGCCACTTCAAGCTCCTCAGCATTCTAGTAGGTCCTTGGTCAAAGCGCGGGTATGACAGCCAATGCATCCCACGATCTAATATTGTGTGTGTGTGTGTGTGTGTGGTAAGGTTCAAGTGCTACGAATTCACCTGCAGATAAGGCTAGCGTGGAATCCACTTATTGTCTTACCGAAGAAGATGGATGAATGAGACGCCACACTAATTTCTGACGAGAGACCTACTTATCGGTGATAAAGCGATGCATCTAGTTTCGAACATTTGAATACTACTCTACGGTGTCCCGTCGGCGGTACTGAGCCCAGGTGGGTACCTCAATCTAAAAGTGTATAACGACCTCCTCTTCTAGGAAGGTAGTTGTTACAGTTCCAACGCAAAGGCTATGATTGGTCTCTCTTATCGTGCCACGAGCTGGGTTCTATGGCTAATGAAATCATTGTTCTCAAGTGCTGGGAGACCAGGGGTTAGAATGGCAATGCCGCTTCTTGCGTGACTTGGCCATCATTGATATATCAGAAGACCCCACCCGACAATTCTTATGACTCTGGCCGGTATATATCTCATCTCTGACCCCTGAGACATCACAGCATTTGTCAGTTCCTCGACATGGAGGCGACGCCAATCAAAACAGGTAGCCTGGTTGAGCGCGAACCCTCGGCGGGGGTGGAGAGCGAAAAATCTGGGGAAAAGGGCGGAGATATGAAAAAGGTCCCTTCTATTCGGGAAGTGCCTCTTCCGTATTACGATGACGCTGAAGCACTCTCTAAAGAGAATGCAGCTCCCATTGCAACCGCGGAGGAGATAGTCACTCATGTCATTCATGTTGACGATGACCCAACACTCAATCCATGGACCTTTCGCATGTTCTTCATTGGTGAGCCCTTTATTTGCTTTTTGTGATAAGCTAGCATGTACGCTTACCCGAAGTCAGGTCTTGGATTGTCCGCATTCGGAGCGGTCCTGCAAGAAATCATGTACTTCAAGCCCCAGGTTGTTTTCGTCTCGGTCATGTTCTTGACTGTCCTTGCTCAAACCCTGGGCACGGCTATGTCTACCTTCATCCCACGAAAAGGTGTCATTGGACGTTTTCTTAATCCTTTCCCGTGGAACCGAAAGGAACACACTGCAGCAGTCCTCATGTCATCGGCGGCCGCCGTCTCGGCCTTGTCAACAGAAGCTTTGGCTGTGCAAAAGCTCTGGTACGGAGGATATCCTAATCAAGCTGCGGGAATCTTCATTACTCTTTCTTCACAACTTATTGGGTATGGCGTTGCCGGCATGATGCGGAATGTTTTGGTAAATCCCACCTCAATGTTGTACCCCGTCAATCTACCCATTACGACTGTCATGGAAACCTTGCACAAGCCCAAAGTGGAGACCAAGCAGAGATTCAAGGTATTCTGGATCGTATTTGCGGCAATCTTTTGCTGGGAGTGGTTCCCCGAGGTACGTTTGCTCAACTACATCGATCCACGTTACGGGCCCTGATAATGTCTAGTATATCTTCCCACTTTTGTCTGCGGTTTCCATTTTCTGCTTGGCGGATCAAAGTAATCCAGTCTTCACAAACCTCTTCGGAGGTTCTCAGGGTAACGAAGGCATGGGATTGCTGTCAGTTTGCTTTGACTGGAATTACATTGCTGGACTCGGATCACCACTCTGGATGCCGCTTCAAACCCTGGTCAACAGTTTCATCGGTTATCTCGGATGTATTGTCCTCTCCATGGCACTTTACTACGGAAACGTTTGGAGAGCCAAGGATTTCCCTTTCATGTCTCAGCTTCTCTATGACCAGACCTCAAACACGACCACCTTTGTCCAATACAATGAGACTGCAATTATGAGCCCGGACTTCACTGTGAATACCACTATGATAGATCAGGCTGGAGCACCTTATCTCACTGCAACATACGTGAACTATCTCATTACATCCAACGCTGGGCTCACTGCCACTATTGTTCACATGTTGCTCTGGAATTACGCTGAAGTCAGTCTTGGATGGGCTTGGATGACACTAAACAATATAAAGAAGATTTTAGATCCTTCCCTTTATATGTTCTGGCGGCACACTGGTGTTCGAACCGAGGAAGAGAAGGAGCGAATTCGTCAGGACCCTTCTATTGACCCTCATTATAAATTGATGCTTGACTATGATGAAGTCCCAAGTAGTTGGTATTTCATAGTGTTTGCTGTCAGCTGGATCGTTGGTCTTGTATGCTTATACGTGATGAAGTCCACCCTTCCGTGGTGGGGCTTTATTATCGCGACCCTCTTTCTTGTGGTCTTCACGATCTTCTTTGGGGCGCAGTATGCCATTACGGGCTTCCAATACAACTTGCAGCCAATTTTCCAAATGCTTGCTGGTTACATGATGCCCGGACGTCCTTTGGGTATGTACTCCGCTATTTCGAGATTTTTTGATATCTTTCCACTGACAAATTCCAGCTAATATGTACTTCACTACGTACACCTACAATGGTATCACGCAAGGACAGCTGCTTCTCCGTGACCTGAAACTGGCTCAACAGAATAAACTGTCACCGAAAGCTACGTTTGTCACCCAAGTTATGGGTTGTGTCATGGGCGCCCTTCTCAACTATGTCATGATGATAACGTAAGTCAAAACACTCGTGAGATTGCCATCTAGTCTAACCTGTCTTCAGCATTGTCGAAAATCAAGCAGATATCCTCAAGTCCGCCGAAGGAACGAACATTTGGTCCGGCTCCCAAATCCAGCAGTTTAACACGCTCGCCATTGCTTGGTCTATTGCCCCCAAGATGTTTTCCATCGGTGCTCGCTACGAATGGGTCACAGCAGCTTTCCTGGTCGGCTTCCTTGCTCCATTGCCATTCTATCTCATGCACCGTTTCTTCCCTCACCAACGAATTTGGTCATACCTTAACTCGGCCATTATTCTGTGGTATCTTGGTGAACTATTTGTTGGTTTGAATGCTTCTCTCACCAGCTACTACATTCTGGGGGCTTTCGGTCAGTTCTATCTACGACGTTACCGACCGCAATGGTTTGTGAAGTGGAATTACCTTATGTCCGCTGCACTAGACGGTGGCACACAAGTGATGGTGTTCTTGGCCACATTTGCAGTTTTTGGTGGTTCTGGGAACTCGGTTGCTTTCCCGACGTGGGCAGGTAATCGTGCAGACAATTTCGACTATTGCGCATACAACCCCCAAAGTTGAAAGTGGCTATTCTTTGAGCCTTTCTGTCGCATTTCCGTGTTTTACTCATTTCGTGGCATAATTATATGGTTTTCCTTTTCTAGACAAGCCTAGAATAGGACGAACTGGTTCTAGTGTATGTTATGAGCGGATATGACTTGACGATGATAGTATACATGTACATAGCGGAGTGACCCGATAGGCTTACAAGTGATATACCGCAGTCCATATTTGGCAGGTTTGAAGCAATTTCATAACATGCGGAAGAGGCGAATTGTCTTCAGGCAGTTCCATCACGGTCCAAGGCAGTTAAGAAAATATCGATGAGCTGTTTTGCCCGCAAAATCCCGGTTAGTGTTGAATCCCTTTAAGCCTGGAAAAAAGCGGAGGGGGAAGACGGGTACTAACCATGCCTGTGTACTTGTCCTCGCTTCCAGGGGTTTGAAATTCCTCCTGCCATCTATCCAGACTACCCGGCGAACAGTGTAGGATATCTTTGATTGTATCATCGCTCTCCAGTTCGCGGACAAATTTTTCTCCCTTCCTGCTGTTTCCCACTCGAGAGAAGAGGAAGAGTGCTGCTTTTTCGCCATAGAACTGCAGAACCTGCGATTCTTTACAGGAACGAACGGTGGATTTAAGCGTCTCGCCGTCTTGTGAAGACACCTAGTGTGTGAGATGCAAGTTCGGTCAGCATATAGATTAGTAACCCTCTTGGGACCTCTGTAATCGTTACGAAACCCTTACCTGTGCGTCTGTAATCATAACAGTGATCACCGGCCGTTTGAGTTCCCTTGCACGGGCTTTCCTAAAGATCATAGGGTGGAGGATCCTTTCTTTGACAACTTCTCCAAGCCCCCGAGAGCCCGGAACTCCACTTAACCCAATGGCTCTCCTGATAGAGATGAATTGGACCATCTGAAAGATCTCATCCACCTGGCTACCGTGAGTGATATTTTCGTGCAAATCCCTCCCGTCCTTGTTGGGATTGAGAAACTGGATTGTGATTCCCTTTGGTAGGAGAAGCGACGTGATCGTCACAAGTTGTCGTAGAGTATTTTTCATAGCTGCCGCGTATCTCCACATGGAACCACTGTTGTCTAGCATATAAAAAGGTTATTAGCTCATCACAGGACTGATAGTGTTTGACGTAGCTCGCGCTCTGCAGCAACTTACCGCAAACAATGACCATATCGAATAACGCCAGTTCGACCATACCATGCCCGCGGCTGGGAGCCATACCATACTTTTGTGTAATATGAATCATCTCAGCCGCTGCCTTGTGTATCACCGTCTTGATAGACGGATCATCTGGAGAGAAAAAGCTAGAGTAGTTATTGGTAATGAAAGTTTGATACTTTCGAGCTATCTGGACATGGACATGGTTATATTAGTGCTGTTGCGAAAGATAGCAACTGTCACATGGTAATACACTCACCACAGCCTGTTGAATATTCTGGGAGGTTGTGTTGTTTGTCGTGGTATTTCCACAATCCCGGTTTTCAGTGTTTCCACAGTTCGTATTTGTTGTGTTTCCGCTCTCTCGATTAATGATTGTACTAGAGAAGGGGTTGCCATCATTTGTTGGTGCAGTCTCTTGCTCCAAGAAGTCGATTTCGGGTGGCAGGTCAAGGTTTGTGGGTGGGTGTGCGGTCGTAATATCGCTGTCAATGCCGTTGAAGACGCCAGTTGATTCCGCATTGTCTTCTATTCCTTTTGACATGGAATTTGAACCTCCAGATTGATTCCTATCCTGGGTATCTGATGACTCGGGGATCGAGTTTGGCAAGCTCCGTGCTGACGCAACGTCGTCAGAGGTCGTCTTAGTTGGGACATCCGCGGCGGCAGTTTCAGGCAAAATATCGGCTTCATCAGATTGCATATTGCACACCGATGTGTTAGGACTTTTGGATTCCAAGCAAGTCTGGGGTTCCTGGGGTTTCTTGCTTGGTAGTAGATCTCTAGGTTGTTCCACCTGATGTTTGTGATATCGGCAATATGAGTCGGAGATTGCCATACGTCTTCTGCACATGCGTCCATGCTTTGCTTGCCCTTTACACCTCCTGGTGCGAACTTTCCGAGGCGTATTTACGAGGTAGTTCATGGTCAGAAATTTAAGCGGTGTGAAATGTCGATGATGGTAGTAACTTGGGGTAATATGTGAGGTGGGGAATGGTTGGTGGCGAAGTATTGATCACAATATATACTGTAGAATAAACCAAGTTGTATAGCTTGCGGCGAAGCCCGAAGCCCAGCTTATAAGGATGTTTGGGGGAGGCTTCAACCCCTGTGATTTTTCGTTTTTCGGCTTCTCTGGAAAAAGAAACCAAGAAAGCAAAAAAACCCCAAAAAGCAAAAAATAATCCAGAGGGGAGATTCTAACTACGATCATATGAAAAATAACGAGGCAGGACAGTGCCAGCTGAGGTGTTCGTGAGAAGATCCCAATCTCCACTCCTGCGCTATGGCACAAGTGGACCGTATCCGCTTGGCCAAAAGGCTCAAAGATCAACTCCAGTTGGTTATGGCTCCCCATCTATATATAGTGTTCTCCCAAACACCCATCAGATCTTCCGAATACACGGACAATCGAGATATACTAGTGTATGGATAGACATGCACAATGGGAAAAAAAAAGAAAAAAAAGAAACAAATCACACCCATATCCGCTTTATGCATGCGCTTGGCCCTGATACTAGTCACAACGGGAGCAAATTAAAATATGATACAAGGATTCCAGACAGACAATGCGACAATTCACTTTACAATTAGCCACCAATGTTCCGTAGACCAGACACCTACTGATTCCTCCCTCACAGGTACTTACAAGAGGGGAGGGGGCATCCCCCGTCAGATAGGACCTTATGGTTGACCAATTAACAGTTATTCCCTAGGCACTTTATACACCATAAGTAACTCATATTCGTAGATTCTATATTATGACAGATCGTGACAACGGAATTATGGAAAGATGTTGAACCCGTTGTATCGAAATAGGTCACGCTAATAGGGAATTCGGGTACAATATGAGGTGAGTAGGGAGTATACCTGTTGGGTGTATGACTATCCTTTTACTCTGAACCAATTATCAGGTGCGGGGTATCGAGGCATGCACCTACAATCACTTGCTACGTGCTGACTGCAGGACTGACTGTCATTGAGTAATAGCTAGTTACCATACGTAGGTGTTAAAGAGAAGTAGTTATCCCACTTTGGTGTCCTCTGTCCTCTGTCATCAGTCCCACTCCCTCTGATTGTGCCTATCACGCAGTTCAACATTACGTTCATCCGAAATGTAGTAGGAAGGGCCACATACTCAAAATAGGCGGCGAAGATGTTTGGCCAATGAGAGTACTTTAGAGGTCAAGGGTGCCACCGCTGCCACTCTTCACATTGCCTGAAGTCTGAGCATTCTGGAAGCCTCGGACGGTGTATCCCGACTGAGTAGCCTCGCCTCCATTGACGTTAATATCCGCAGCCTCAACATGCTCGTAGTCCTTGCTAATGGAAATCTTTCCACCATCACCACCGGTAACATCGGCCGACGAAGTCCCGGCCCTGGCGTTGAAAAGGCCCGCATTCACTGCAGCGTTTCCAGTGGCCTTTGCACCATTGGCATTGAGATTGCCGAACTTGCGAGATTTGGACTCGGCCATAGCTTTGGTTGGATGGTCGACTCGAAGGTTGTAACGTGGAAGAGAAGTAAAATAAATGCAATGAAAGAAGTAGATCTTCTGGAGTGGGCTGAATCTGCCTTGGTGGCTGCTTTCAAAAAGAACTCTAAGCTCGCTCGGAGGGAAAAGGTGACCCTGATAAATATTCTTGGGTGCTGAACCTGTGACTTGGAGTTGCGAATCATTACTGGCTGCACCTTTGCAGCTTATCTGATTCAAAAATAGGACACAGCGATGACCTTGCAACTTTTGGGCAACAATGATCTTTGCATGCACGCTTCTGAAACACTTTGGGGGTCGCCGTGGCTTTGAGTATAACATTAATCCAACTGATTGGCATGCCAAGAGTTACATATGTAGAGATATGTACAATTGAATACAGTCATCATACCGGTTTATCTACATGCCTCATTGTCCGAGACATCAAAAGTATGTTGGGGCCAGCATTGGATGCTTCATAGCTCCACTGGTGCTTTGCTTCTTACTGTAGAGATTAATAGGCCCTGACTCGTCATATGCAGTCAAAGGCTTCACATCCTTTCCACCCAGCACTTAGCCTAAATTCCTCACGGCGTCCTTTTCCTCCAGTCTAGATATGCAATTCGTGGAAACCTAAACGAAAACGATGGGGAAATGAGTTTTCTGAGGCAGTAACATAGTTTATCTCTTTAACATGTTGGTAGGTACATACGCTACAATTTGAAAGTGTCAACTGGGTTGTCACAAATGAACAAAAACACGATGGATAGAGCGAGCTGCAATCCAGCTGGCTTGGCGTTCAATACCATCAACTGCCAGCCTGTCCTTGGGGATGATCCAGTCCAGCGTGGGTGCGTGGTGCATGCATTGGTGCTGTGCTCTGCTTGCATATAATTGGCGAGATTCTTGCAGCAGCTATGGGCCTACTGTCGGGCTGCCTGAACGCCTTGTGTCAATCATTTCAGCTCTTCATCACAAAGACAGCGTGAGGCACCGGGCCGGCAAGGCCTTCGCAATGGTGTCATGACCTAACTGCTTATAGGCTGGGTTAAAGGAATGCACACGCCAGAGATTTGGACTACTCTTTTTATAAATTCACTCTTCGTTTTGCTCCTTACTCTTTGCTCCCTACATGTCCGACCAATCCACGTGAATGTCATTTCAAAGCAACATGAGTTACGGAGGCTGGAAATCAGGCAACATATCCGACGCTCCAAACCCATGGAGCTGGAATAATTCATTCCCCCACGGTGGAAGCAACAATCGATATACCTGGTCCAGTAACAGCGGCAACGTCACATCAACCAACTGTGGCAACACGGTGTCGGAGAATTGCGGCAATACGACTACCTACAACAACAGTGGAAACAAGGTCGTCCGGACTGGCAACATCTCGAGCAATGGGGGAGATGCTTGTAAAGGGGGGGAAACCGGTGACGGAACTGTCATTGATCGTTCATCTACTACCACATCAGACAGTGTTGCAGGTGGGGCCGGTGGTAGTATTTCCATCGGCGGTTAGACTTCCTACTGTTTACAACATGGTGAGCTCGATCAGACTAGGTATAGTTACTTCAGATATGCTGATATAAAAAATGAGACTGAAGAACCATGAGAGTTGTGGCGGTTTTGTCCGGTGTACGATAGTTCTTGCTCACGGAGCACTGCAATTCAGGGTCAGAACGAGGAGGGACTATGGCCATTTACGCTAGGTATTTCTTGGGAAAGGTGCACTAAGGTCAGAGGCGGGGTAAGATAGTCAAAAATCTACTTAAAAGGCCCTGTTGATCTTGGACAAATAAAGTATTATTAGGTTATAATTAAGTAAGAGAGTTATAATAATCTAAAAGGTAAATATAAGTAATAATATATAATTGAAGACGAAGAACTAAACTAAGTATATAAAGGAGTATCCTTATATATCCTTCGTTTCCTACTCCCTAAATAACTCCCCTAGAGTTACTACTAGAGTCGCCGTATACTCCCGGATATACTCCTATAGAGTAGGTCCTAAAGTTATAGTTACGTAGTCTATAGTTCCTAAAACGCTATTTATATAGTAGGCCCTATCTAATATAGATAGTTATATATATAATAGAAAACCCCTAGTAGTAGATCCGATTAGGGCGGATTATACTCTTTCTTACTAAGTGTGATTACAGTTTCTCTTCTCCTAGTGCCTAGGTAACCTGGAGTATAGGATATTACACGTGATCTGATGATAGATCTGTTAGTTGGCACTCGGTTGCCTATCTATGTACCTGGTGGGTCACTATCGATTGGTGACGGGTAGGTCCGTAACAATTAGAAGCTCAGAGTTCAGTTTGAATATAGGCAGTACTAGTTGTATTGGCCTTCGTAGTAGTATTGTATACACCCTGTCACTCTGATCGATTAAACCGGAGCCCTACATAGTGGGGCTTCACAATACGGCATGATGTCATTGTGGTTTCGGAGTTTAGTGGGTTGATGACACCCCACCTGTAGATTGTTCGGAGTTAGGCATTGGTACGTCCGTTACTGTTGACGATTACCAGGAGAAATTCGTACCTCTGTCTGTTTCTCGCTATGATTGGATTGAAATGGACCATCTCATTTTACATTTCACACACGAGATGGAAGGAAATAGTCCTTGGAACTTGATTGGAGCCAGCGGAGTTAAGGCTTACAAGGAAAACCAGGAAGACCCACTTGAAGGCTTAATCCCGGGTATGATATAAATCCAGCTCACTGCCACATCTGGAGAATTGTAAAGCAACAGAAATTGAGAACCACCCATCAAATTATTAAACTCAGTCAACATGGTCAAGACGCTCCCCTTCGGTGATATTCAGATCCCAACACCGGGCTTCGGTGCCATGGGCTTGAGCTTCGGTTTGGGTAGCAACATGAGCCTCGAGCAAGCCGAACCAGTCTTGCTGAAGGCGATTGAACTGGGATGCACATTCTGGGATACCGCTGTTGTCTATCAAGCTGGTGTGAACGAAAAGCTTTTGGGAGACTTCATCAGGAAACACAACGTCCGCGACAAGATTTTCAGTAAGACATTACGGAATGAGGAAAATTGTTAGAAACTAACTGCTGTCATTGATAGTTGCCTCCAAATGTGGGTTCGACGTCATGGGAGGGAATGGCGCCGTCACCAACTCCGCCTCGCATATTAAGGAGTACATTGATGGAACTATTGAGAGACTTGGCTTTACGCCTGATTTGTACTATCTGCACCGGATTGACCCCAGTGAGTTGAATACATATGTGATCATCTTCCAATCTCAAATTACTAATTTCAATAGACACAGCCTTGACTGAGTCTATTCCTGCCCTTGACGAAATTCGCAAGGCAGGCAAGACCAAGTACATTGGACTTTCCGAATGTTCAGCTGCCACACTACGCAAGGCAAACTCAAGTACGCTTCTTTCCTGAGAGGTTGTGAATATTTTACTAACCGTCAATAGTTGCCAAGATCGATGCTATCCAAGCGGAGTATTCAGCCTTTGAGACACTCCACGAGACAGACGCCTTGATCGAGACAGCAAAGGAGCTGGGCATCGCCTATGTCGCATACAGTCCACTGGGACACGGTTGGCTCGTTGATAACTTCGATTACAAGTCCCCGGATGACTTTGCCCCTGACGATTTCCGCCGAAACTGTATGTATATACCCTGCCACAAGCGTCCTAATCATAGACTGGACAAACTCGCTAACGCTATCCGTTTCGATAGCTCCCAAATTCCAAGGCGAAAACTTCTACAAGAACTTGGCCATCGTCGAGGAAATAAAGAAGCTAGCTACCCGCAAGGGATGCAAGATTAGCCAGATCGCCCTAGCCTGGGTTATTTCCCAAGGCCTGATCCCCATCCCGGGAACAACGAAAGCGGCCCGCCTGGAGGAGAACTGGGCTTCTCGGGATATTGAATTGACCGAGGAGGAAAAGCAAGAAATGCGCAAAATTATCGATGCTGCTAAGCCACACGGTAACAGATATGGCCCTACGCACCAGGCTATGGTTGGACATTAAGCCGAAGGGAATTTAATTGGGAACAAGTTGGGCTTCTCGCATCATCCACTTCGGTATGGCTGCCAATAAACTCAGATATTCCAGTGGAATTAGGGACATAGAGCACAATTGAATTGTTTCACGCAACGCTTCGCCGCATCTAGACCAAGGAGGGACTGTAGAAAATTGCACAAACTAATGGACAGGATCCTTATAGGTTCCATCCAAGGCAAATTAAACGGGAATTCGGACAGGATCGTGGTAGCGGTAGGCTCCACATAGTGGCAAGGGATGTCAACATCATTCGCAATGGAGGGCACAATCAATGGGTGTATTTAGGGAAATTAGTGGATTAGGAAAATTCAAGATCAGATTACATGAAATGGGGCGATTGATTTGATTGATTAATCTAAATCAGCGCAGGCTAAAATGATTGTGGGTTCGTTCAAGAGAGCTTCCTCCGTCACAGCGGATACAAAAGTTTTACTCTGATTTGTGCGGTCGCACGCGCTCATTGGAGGGTGTCAACAACTGAGTCAGTGCGCCGTTGGAATCTCACAGAAAAGATATTCCGTACATACTGCGAAGCGCCTCGAGCGGCTGGGGAAAATACGATCCAACACCACGAAGAGTTGGACCACTGACTTACCGTAGTCCGAGCATCCCGCAGGCAGATCCTGCCTTGAGAGGCTTGACTTTGGGGAATGCCAAGGGAACACCTAGGAAGCTTGGATTAACAGCGTCATTAATTCTAGTTGAGTATGTATATCTGATCGATCAGATAAATAATTAATCAGATAAGAGGGCGTAAATGTTAAATTGCGCCATGCACCCACCCATGGACCGAGGAGCCGAAGGCGAACAGTTCCACGAAGTTCACTTGAATTGATATTGTGAGTTCATGAACAAGATGATTCATGCACGAAGTCAATAATGCTTGTTCGTCTGGGTACAAATTGGGGACTGGAAAAGATCTTGATCTCTTTTTGTATTTAAGCTTCTCATCTGGCAACCTTGCGCTGTACACTGCATGGATGAGCAAGAGACAGACAGAGCGGATAGCCTTTTGTGTTCGAGCGTAGTAAGGGGAAAAAGAAAAGAGCCGGACAGATGAGCATAACTCGCATACAACAATATTGGATAATGTCACTTTGGTTGAGATGCAAACGGGTTGCCGCATCAAGCAGGTAGCCCTGAAAAGAACTGTAACTTTGGACGGAGAGGCATACTAGTCCAAAATAGGACGCAAAGTTAAAAATTGGCCAATCAGGGATATTACCACCACACCGTCTAGTAGCGAATGAGCGATGATAGCCCGTCACTGCAACCCCTGATTGGATCAATTATCCGATTGACCCACCTGGGTAATCCGCTCACCCCGAGATTATCTGATCCTCGTCACATCGGAGCCTGCGGTCGAGAGTGAGGGAAAGAGAAAAATGGAAAAAAAAAAAAAATGGAGACGGTGCCTGGACCACTCAAGACTTTCTCGTCTGAAACCCCCCGGGTCTCTGTCCCTTCAGATTATGTGCCTCACCAGCATCACGAATCTCTCCTCTCTTCTTTCCAACCTCCCATTGCGCCCAATACTTAATTTCTGTCTATCCTCATACAGCCTCCCCGAAAATAATTGAGGATTTGGAATCTGGATTGGGCCTCCTGTGATCGGACGAATGGGACATACAGCGATGGGTCTCCCGGCGACCGCTGAAGATTGCGATGACGGCAAAACCATCGAGCGGGCTGTACTCGGAAAGGAATCATATAACTCGCAAAATATGAAATTGGAAGGAAACGGTGCCACCGGAGATAGATCATCACAATATGATCCCGAATCACCGCCCACATCGGACGGCTCTCATGCAGGCGACACGTTCGATGACGAAAAGGAATTAGCACAACACCCCGACAGTATCACAGAGGGTGCTCAGTTGGGTCAGCAGAAGGCGGAAGCAGCGGCGCTCGCATGGAGCTGGCCAGCTTTGGTTGGAATATATGCTTGGTAAGTAGATCTCTGCCCATTCGTTTCAATGCCCTTGCGATAAACCCTCTACTAACAATGATTGAACTTGCAGGATCTGGATTTGCACATTTATGTTGGCGTTTCACTCGAATATAAGCGGGTTCCTCATCAACTATATCCAGGGAGGGTTCAAGACCGCACCGCAGGTCTCAACGTCCTATATCCTCGCGAATATTGTGGGCGGCGTTCTTAAGCTACCGCTTGGTAAGACCTTGAACTTGTGGGGTCGTGCTGAGGGCCTGGTGGTCTCGGCCAGCATTTACCTTCTTGGTATGATCGTCCTCACGGCATGTGACGGTCCCAACGGATACGCGGCGGGCTATGTGCTGTACTGGATCGGGTACTACTGCTTATACCTGATCTTGAATGTTTTCGTCGCCGATACCTCGGGTCTAAGAAACCGAGCGTTCGCTTTTGGCTTTATGCAAACTCCATTTATCTGTACTGCTTTCACAGGCAGTCTTGCAGCAAACTCGATATATGGTAATTTCGGGTGGCGCTGGGGTTATGGCATCTTCTGCATCGTGATGCCATTTGTGTTCTTGCCCCTCGCCATGGCTTTCAAGTATTTCGAGAAGAAGGCAGAAAAGAATGGTATCTTCCGCCGACAGCCTAGTGGTCGCACTACTGGACAGTCTATCATTCACTATATTCATGAATTTGATGGTAAGAATGCCCCAAAGCAATCCCGGGATGTTGACACTAACGTTCCATCACTAGTCATTGGCGCTTTCTTGCTCATGGCTGGTTGGGTGCTGTTCCTCCTGCCATTCAGTTTGGCACAATATGGCCGCTCTACATATGCAAATGCAAAATTCATCGTTCTCCTCATCCTCGGAGTCTTTATGTTGGGTGTCTTTGCAGCATGGGAGAAATGGGGTGCACGAACCCACTTTATCCGCTACGAGTTGATCAAGCGGCCCACTATTCTAGGCGCATGCATACTGGCCGCCGTGCTATTTTTCAGCTTCGAGCTCTGGGATCAGTACTTCTACAACTACGTCCTGATCTCCTACGATATTTCCCCAGTTCATGCAAATTACATGATCCAGATTTATAACGTTGGCTCCTGCTTCTTTTCTCCCGTCATCGGAGCCATCATCTGGGCGACTGCGCGCTTCAAATACATATGCCTGTTCTTCGGAGCCCCGCTCATGATCCTCGGCTCCGGGCTGATGATCTACTTCCGTGGCGCAGACCACGGCATTGGCTACGTTGTCATGTGTCAGATATTCATTGCTTTCGCTGGTGGCACACTCGTCATTGGCGAAGACATGGCTGTTATGGCTGCAGGTGGCCGTGAGGGCACTCCGATGATGCTGGCCCTCATCGGATTGTTCTCGAACATCGGCGGTGCGATTGGCCTGGCTGTTGGCGCTGCTATCTACAATAATGTCTTTGTCGATACCCTCACGACACAATTGCCAGATAATTTGAAGGCCAACGCCACTCAGATTTACCTCGGTGGTATCACTGTGCAATCAACTTACCCTTGGGGAACCCCTCTTCGCGAAGCTGTCGCGTATACGTGGGGCTATGCCCAGCGCCTGAACTGCATTGCTTCTACTGCTATCTTGGCGTTGACTATTCCTTGCATCCTGGTCTGGAAGAACTACGACGTTAACCTGAAGCAGAACAAGGGTAAAATGATTTTCTGAAAGGCCTTTCCGTTGCATAGTATACCCGGTTATGACGCACGGGTTGGGAAGCCTTGTTCATGTTTCGCGTTATTTCTGGTGTGCTTCATTACCTACCATGTAGAGCGAAAGCCACTGCTTCAATGTCCATTTATTGCAATTATCTTGTTGAGCGTGAAGAATACCAATATATATATTTCACTGTGCTACCTACCACCAAAATGCTCGTTCATTCTCGTAATTATCTAAACCGAATAATAATCATATTTATTCATTTTTTTTGTCCTTGTGGTCCAATTAGAGATATTATTGCCACCTTAAATCTTAAACTCATTATACTCCTAGAATTCATTACGAAAACGAGGCGACGGCAAGAAGACCGTCGTGGGGCTTGACCCGAACCCGTGATTGGCGCAAGGCTCATACATCCGAAGGTCGACTTTCATTTCACCTTCCCTTCCTTCTAACCGTTAACCTCACCTTCAAGGAGAGATATAAAATTTTGTTCACCATGTCTCAGTCTGCGGCAATGAATTTGCGCAATTCCTTTGGTGATCGGAAGATCCCCGATATTTCACGCAAGATCACCGCGTGTGTCTTGTGCCGCAAACTCAAGGTGAGAACGACACGAGTACGAAAAAAATAATCACGCACTCATACTGTAGCAGATAAAATGCCATATGAATGATAATAAACCCCCCTGCAATCGGTGTAAAGTGCGCGGGCTTGCGTGTTCGGTCAACAAGAGCCTCCAGATGCTCTTGGAGAATGATGCTTCGTAAGTTGTCTCCATTACGCATGGTTTCACATATAACTTTTGGTTTCAATAACCTAACGAATATGTTTAGATGGAAGGAAAAGATGGAGGATCGAATTAGCAGACTTGAACAGTCTATCACACAAAACACGACTCAGCCTTCTAGGATTGCCTGGGGCAATGCTCCTCCGGCACAGCTACTTAATTCCAACAACATCGAAACTGACACGCCCAGCATCTTGTACAAACCAGCGCATACCGAGACGTCCGCTACAGTAACTTTGAATTTGTCATGCAGTCTTGGCGCATTTCCAGCATCGTCAATGATCAATCTTACGTTGGGTGACATTGGAACAACCCCGGAACAAAACCCTGACCCAGTTTCATGCGGAATCATCTCACAACGAATAGCGGAGAGACTCTTCGTATTTTATAAACACAACCTAGACCCTTGCATTCACAATACCCTCACCGACAACGACACTTTCCCTGCAATCCGTACACGCTCTCCTCTCCTCACTACTTCAATATGCACAGTATCTGCGTTTTGCACTGGCTCCGAGAACTACAGCGCCCTACTAAAACATTTCACCAACCAAGTCTCAGGGAAAGTGTTTTCGAGCAACCACACATTCGACGACGTCCGTGCTCTGTGCATTGGAGCTTTATGGCTGAACGAAGTCTCCACCGCGCTGAATAGTTTAGGTGAGCGATGAGCCGATGATCTCGAGTTCTGCTTGTCCGCACACTAACAAATATTAAGCTGTACGCATTTCCACGGAGTTAGACTTACACAGGTGCATCACAAAAATGCCCCACACAAAACGAGCCTGCTACGACCGTACTCGGTTATACTGGCTAGTATATCTCTGCGACCACCACTGCTCTCTCATTCACGGAAGACCTCCGCTTACACGAGACTTCCACTCATTAAGAAAACCAAGGGATTTCCTGCAGAGTTATTTCACCAACCCTTCTGACTTGGGTCTGATCAGCCAGGTCGAGCTATGGTCCATCAGCAGTCGTGTCTTCGACATTTTCGGCGCTGATATTGAATGCAAAGCCACTAGCAAGGGGTCGGATAAACTGGCGCAGCTAAGTGCTACCTACGATGGATGGTTGGAGGAATGGATTGCCATGCTTTCTTTCACGGATGCGCCGGCTACATTTTCACGACGTCTTTTTGATCTTTACTCCCATTCAGCGAAGTTGTATCTTTTCTCCCATATTTTTCGAGGCTCGCCGCAAGATACAAAACTCCCAAAAGCAGGGGCTGAATGTGAGTCTGATACTGGTACGGACGAGTTCGCACATGGCGCGGTGAGAAGTGCTCTGGAAATTATCAAATGCATTGTCGATGATGACGCATCATCGTCATGGCTGGGAAAGCTACCAACCTATATCGGAACCATGGTGGCATTTGCATGTGTCTGCCTGGTGAAAGTATCCGCCCAACAAGGACCATGCGTTCATGACCTGCAAGATGAGGGTGTTCCCAGCTACCTTCAGCGACTAGTCCAGGTCCTCCTCTCGTCGCCGGTCGTCAACCATCCCACGCATCCTCTACTGAGTATTGCCATGAGCCTAGGGACAGCTACTGCTGTCGCTGGAGGTATAAATTGTGTAGGTGGTCAAGAGCCTCTTGCCTCAATCGATATGCGGGATTGGGACCTTGATTTGGGATTTTTTGACATGTTTACCAGCGATACGTCGAATGGATGTCCCGGTAACCACGGTGCATTTCCAGGGATGTGACCGCATATTGTAAATCCAACCAAAAAAAAATGAGGCGAGATCCCTGCAGCACGAATCTATGATATTCTCTCATTACTCCGTAAAACCTTGGAATGCCCGGTTCGGCTCGCTTCTGCCCAATACAGTCCTAATTTATGCCTGAAGACGGATAAAAAGGGTATCCACTCTGTATTTCTTGGCATTTCGAGCATTTCAAGAATCCCTCCGAGCATTTGAAAACCCCCAAATGCCAAGCAATGCTCATGAAAGACATGTAATTCAATTACCGAACCGACCGGAGAGATGTAGTTGGAACATGCTCTAGATTTGATATTTCTTAGAATAAAACATATAGAGCAATGGTTAAATTTGAAAAGAGTACCAATCTGTACATTATTCAGCTCGATCAAGATCATTTTAGACATTGTTTCTTTATATATTCTACATTAAGCTCTATTAAATGATATGTATTGACAATACATAAGATATTGCTGGTAGAACGAAGTGAGCTGAGTCGAGCATCTGACTTTTAGCTAAGTACAACATATGTCTATTACCTAGCATAGAAACCGAGAAACAAAACTGTCAGACTGGGATATGCCCCCCCCCCCCGCCCTAGGCCCTAAACAGGAACCGAAGTTTTTGTTATGGTCTAGTGGTATAATAGGCTATATTGTTTCCAACAAAAACCAATCACAACACATGACCGGCCTAACGTAAGATTTTAGGCGCATCACATAGTCACAGGGCTAAGCAATCGAGCCCTGAAACTTTCCCGGTACACAACTTTTATGTACTGGCCATTACAGCCTTAGTGGAATCCAGAACTTTTCTCTTTGCGGGGAACAAAGCTTGGAAGAACTTCTACTGGTTGCCAAATGCCAATACATATTCCGATGGCTGATTCGGAGTTCCCCCGACTCCAAGGTGGGTTATATATTCGCTGCTATGGGATTATGCGTCGCATCACATTTTATGTGGCTTATTTACAAGCAATACAAAATGCACAGTGTGATGCTATACTTTTATTCGGCCTAATTAACTATCCGACCATTTGGGACCAGATATCTTCGGTCAAATTAATGAGTTTACCCGGGTGTTAGGGATCAGCTGCAAGATGGACTCCCTAGTAATGCAGAATAAGAAAGTTATGCCCGCGGGTGTTCAAAAGCAGCTCCGAAGGTGGTGCTTGTTTATATAATGGGTTCCCGTTGGCGTTTGGGGTAGTATTATTGCGCTCATCCCCTCTCTTTTGTCTTTTATTCTTCTAACTGGATGAAACGTCCCCAAGTCCATTACTACTCGGGTACCCTCGATTTCAACCTATATTACTCCTAGAACGAGACCAAATCCAACGATTTGTGACATGAGCGTGCGATTCTATATTCTTTTTATATTGGTAACACCAACATATCTCCCAAAATGAAGGACGGCTTAGGTATGGCTATCTCTACTTCTGTAATGTGTCTATGTGAAAATAACCTTCACCACATAACATCCGCGAAAAGCGCAATATCTAAAGTGTTCATGCAGAAACCCCCTCCGTCGATGGATCGACCCTAAGCACGAGCAACCGGGAAAATCTCGGAACAGACCTTGAAATCGGCCCCCTCGATCTGAATGATGTATCAAAAGAGGAAAAATCGACAGACCCAAACATCGTCGATTGGGATGGGCCGGATGATCCCGAAAATCCTCTCAACTGGACCTCAAGAAAGAAGATCACAGCGACATGTTCTATTGCGCTGATCACGTTTCTGACGTATGGACGGTCCTTTTCTACATCATTCAGATGGCCAAAGCTAATTTCTGGAAACTAACAGCCCTCTCGGATCATCCATGTTTGCCCCCGGCGTAGGTCAACTGGTCAAAGACTTTAATGTCACCAGCACCGAACTAGCATCGTTCGTGGTATCGGTATACCTGCTGGGATACTGTTTCGGTCCCCTGCTCATCGCACCTCTATCGGAGTTGTACGGTCGACAGTATGTCTACCATGTATGCAACATCCTCTACGTGATCTGGACAATTGCTTGCGCCTTTGCGCCCGAGATGGGTAGTCTTGTTGTCTTCCGATTCCTCGCTGGCTTTGCCGGTAGTTGTCCGCTGACTATTGGCGCCGGCTCGATCGCAGATATGTTCGTACAAGAACAGAGAGGCGGTGCGATGGCAGCTTGGGCTCTTGGTCCTTTGATTGGTCCTGTCGTTGGTCCGGTTGGTATGTTCATTTCCCTCATGCTTCCTCTAGTTGATAACTCGATTACTAACTTTGCATAGCGGGTGCGTATCTGGCACAGGCAAAGGGTTGGCGATGGAGTTTCTATGTGCTGGCTATGGCTGTAAGTGAAGACCGTGACACCCAACGACAGAACATATACTAACAGAACTGGCAGGGTGGTGCTATCACGGCCAGCTCCATTATAACCCTCCGTGAATCCCACGCCCCGACTATTCTGGCCCGGAAGACTAAGAAGCTCCGGAAGGAAACGGGGAACATGAACTTGCGCTCTGCACTCGATACAGGCCGTACACCGAAGGAACTGTTCCTATACTCCATTGTGCGACCGACGAAGATGCTCTTCCTCTCCCCGATCGTCTTCCTTCTTTCGCTTTATGTCGGCGTCATCTACGGATACCTATATCTGTTGTTTACAACTATCACCTCCGTATTCGAAGAGCAGTACAATTTCTCTCAGGGATCAGTCGGACTCACTTATCTGGGTTTGGGCGTTGGGTCTTTGATCGGGTTGTTCATTCTCGGAGCAACATCCGACAGACTACTCAACTACCTATCTGTCAAGAATGGCCAGAAAAAGCCCGAGTATCGTCTTCCGCCTATGATCCCCGGAGCCGTTTTCGTTCCCATATCGCTGTTCATGTATGGATGGACTGCCTATTACAAAACCCACTGGATTGTGCCTATCATCGGTACCTCCTTCCTCGGTGTTGGCATGATGATCACATTCGTAAGTTACTTTCCTTCCATCCGTGATTCCCTTTCGCTGCGAATTGGCCAACTAACACCGGGATTGCTGTTTAGATGTGTGTGAGCACATACTTGGTTGATGCCTTCACGGATTACGCCGCTTCCGCAATGGCAGCTAACACGGTGTTCCGCTCACTGGCCGGTGCCATGCTTCCACTTGCCGGCCCGAAGATGTATGAGGCTCTTGGACTTGGTTGGGGTAACTCGCTACTTGGATTCATCGCTCTGGCCTTCTGCGCATTGCCTGTCATCTTCTGGTTTTATGGTGAACGCATAAGGACGAGTCCCAGATTTCAGGTGTCCTTCTGATTGGGTGGCAGGACACGCTTCGGGCACTGTTGGGTTGTCTCATTTTGCTTTCGCCGAGACTCTGAGTCGGCCTCGTCGGGGTCTTCAGCAACACAACCTCCACCAACTCCAGATACACATAGAGATTATGCATTCTATAAAAATAAAAATATGAGCCCGTGGGCGATTAACACAGACGGGCTTTCCACCCGAACCTGCATCGTTTCAATCCATTCCGCTTACTCGAGCCTTGCTATGGTGCGCTTGCTTTGGGCTTTTAAAATTTGGGGTTTGTACTTCAGTCTCTCCTTCGCCTTATCACCCCCTTTCATAAGAGTAATGATCTCATATAGGGTTGTCAGGGAAGTGATCTGACCAAGGTACTGATTGCCCTGGTCATATAGGTAGAACTGTGCCGCCAGCACGGAACATCACCTCGCAGCCGCCATAGCTATCCAAGCGACACATTATAGGAGTGCATTTCCCGCGGTCAAATGCAACGGCGAGAGAATGCCCCCAGCTATCCTCTGCCGCTCATTCACCTTCGTGGTCGAGTTTGGTGGAATCCATTGTCCATCCGGGAGGGGGGGTTATCTGAGCGCTTTATTAGTATCAGCTTGATAAAGTCAACCCATGGTAAGTACATAGGTGATTTAACCAACTACATGATGGATGGATGGACTCATAATAAACTCATTTGCCTAACATCTAGCACTAACCATCACGAATTGTAGAATATGTTCTTCGCGATCTTTTGGGGAGGTGGGATATAGCTCTGAATCTGGAACCACGCTATAGGTGGATAATAGTTAATTGACGATGGCGAGGTGGTCCCAGGATACCAGTTGACCCAAAGATGGATGGGTTCCAAGGTTCCTGATTATTCAAATTAGGTCAGGCTCATCACCCTAAAGCTTGGGGCGTTAATATTCAATGCCTAAGATGCTGTCGGAATCCTAGGTGTGGCCTTGTAGAAATCCTGTGACTTGTGGATCTAATTTTGCTTAAGCACTCTTGCTGAGCCAAGATAAAAAAATTCTTCATATATGGAAGGCCCAGCTGATGGCGCGCGGTAACAAGGATGAACGCTTCCCGAAATATCTTTCGCTGCGAAGGGAAGACCTCCCTCCCGGTCCAGTATTCATGAAACTCTGAACTGATCGTGATCAACAAAGCCCGTAGAACACGGACTCAGATTGCTAGTTATTTAGTTAGCAATAGCCTCGGTATAGCTAAGTATAGAGTCGGGTTGGAGGGATAGGACTCCCGAATCTAAATATGTAGCAAAGGATGTATCGAGGTGGCAAAGGTACGAGAGCCATTCTCTATCAGACATGGGCAGTCACTGACGTAGAGGCGGAGGAAATGATGCAGAAAATAGATGGAACCAATTGCAAGTCAGTGATTTTTGTTGTAAAAGGGGTTACTGGGTTATGTGTAGTTGTAAAAAAAAAGCGAAGTTCGTAGACATAATAATGTCAGCGCCGGACTTCTAAAAACCCAAGTCCACCAAACTCAAGTCCCCAGATGTTCTCCTGCTCTGACCTCGTTTCCTAGCACCCATGTGGCTGATTGGTCCACGTAATTTCCCCCAATCGAAGGTAAGCAATGCAAAGGCGTTACGATCAAATCAGGTTGTGCCACTGTGGATACCGGGATGCCCCCAAGATCCTCTACAGAGATCATGTTATAGTACGGCTGAAGTAAACCCGACTTAATATTTGTTCACCCTCGAGAATTTAAACAGATAGCCAATTCCCTCACTGTGATAGTCAATTCAACCAGAGGCATTTTGGCTGTCCTCCAACATCTCAATTATACTTTTGTTTGTTTTTATCTTAGTACAACATTCATTATGGCATGGCCTTTGTGCAATGACCATATAGATCATCCAAGCCTATCCTGGCAATATGAGCCCAGTCATGGTGATTCTCCCTTTTACAAGGACGTGACTGCTACTCAAACTCCCATTGTTACGGTCGCGAAGCCATTATCTACCGAGTACAGCTTTTACGATCCTCGTGTTCAGCATGCTTCAGCGCTGCTTGACACAAACTTCACTTTACCTTCCACTCTCGGCCCTCTCAATCTGGAGTATATGGACCAGGACCCTATGCAGGGCTTCTTCTCCCAGTGGAATAGTACCACCGAAGGCCTGGCTAGAGACTATCGCCGTCTAGCCGAAAGCATCGTTCGGGTCCCATCTTTAGACTCTCCCTCTGTGGAAGAACCATCTCCACCCAAGGACAACGACATGCTGGCAACCCAGGGAAACCGTACTGACGGTCGACGAGCCAATAAACAAGAGTAAGACAACTACCCTCACATTAGAAATCGACATTGACAAGACGTTAGGGATTACCACATCTCTTTTGAATGTCACTGGATAGGCTGTAAGCACCGCCACGCGTTTAGCTGCGAAAGTGTGTTGATTCGTCATATCAGAACTCAGCATATCAACCCGCGCTCCGTCAACTGCCCTAGGTGTGATAAGTCTTTCAACCGAAAGGATAATATGAAGGAGCATGTGGGAAGGGTGCACGGGGGATATATCTGAGATCCAAGCAGGAGCTTTGTGATTTTGATTACTTGGTTTCGGACATGTGGTCTTCTTCTGGGATTGAAGGGATTAGAAGGATCTGGGCGTTACTAAGGATAGTTGTCTTAGGGGGTCTGATTGTTAACAAGATGTTGTCTCATGTCGGATTTTCTAGCACGAAGCTCATGAATACAGTCAGAGAAAGAACTATATTTCAGTCAGCGCTAAGTTCAGAAACATTTCTTCGAGATCAGCCAGGCCTTGGATGCAAGATGAACACACTTCCATGTCGGGATTATACGAGGTTAATCTCCAAACAGGAACATCCTAGAAGTTGATAAACACGGTCTAGGCCCGGTTTCTTTTCCATTGCCTCTCTAGTCTTACATACCTCGCACTACGAGATTCCTTTCCCCTAACTTGTAGGTATCTTTATTCTTCAATTCTAACGTGTTCAAGGTGCCTCGTCGAAAGTGGCGACAGCGAGGTCTCTTCGCCCCGGGGTAGCAACCCCTGATGACCTGCTCCCCTGGTCACATTTGGCAATATGAATGCATTTAGAGGAACCTTGGGCAGAAAGGCTGCCTAAACAATATATAATATCGACGGCTAGGTGTGTGATGGCAGCAACTCGCTGTATGAATAGGAAGTCGGCTATGGAGGTATGTCAGGGAGTGGCATACGGAGACCTCGTTCCACTTTGCGCATGGTTAATTCAACCCGCCCTTCCTCGTGAAGGCTGTGTTCGTAGTACGGGCGATCACCCCGCTGGTGGACCGAAGGTTTCGTAACAAGATGGCGATATTGGGGGGTTTTTTTCGGCTTTGTGTATGACAACGACGAGGGAGTGGGGTATTGGGCGACATTGAAGTCCAGCGCTTCTCCTAGGCTGAACATGTAGGCGACAGAGATGGTTACTACCTAACTAATCTCACATCATTATGCACTGCCTCGGCATATATTCTTTATACTCTTCCGGAGATGCCATGCTTTCAAAGACTAGAAAGAGAAGTTAACCAAAGTACAAAATGTCAGTAATTGTTAGAAGGGTTCGACAGTAACAGAGATCAAGTTAACTCACATTCTCTTTTGGCTTGCTTACTCTCAGCCGTATCGTGCCACAGCCTCAATAGCCATGTAGCGACCAGTGCATCCATCGACTCCTGCGACATACTGCTCGTGACTGATAATTTATATCTGTCATCTTCTTTTTCTTCAACGGCGACCTGTGTGCCATTGGAATTGCTCCACTTGTAGCAATTTCGACCGACCTTCCAGTTTGGTTGGATATCAAACAATAGGAGTTGTTGCGTGCCCTCGTAGAATAATGGTTTATCCGAGGCGGTCTTTTTCGCACTTAACATCGCCTTGAAGGACGTCTTTTGAAATCGTGCCTCAGAATTCTCGAGGCGAATATTGCCCATCATCTCGGGCACCGCAGCTGTGATGTAGTACTTAGCGGGTATGTCGGTCCGGTATTGTGCATTCACAGGGTGTGCAAGATAGAAAAGATGTCGCTTGCGCCACGTGCCAGGAGTGACACCCTCGATTTCTATCTCGGGATCAGATGTATCTTGCTCGACTCTTTCGAATGCCACAGATGAGTCCTTATTCGAGGTTGACCTGATGTCACTGTTTAATTGGTAAAGCAGCCTTGGAGTTGCAGACTCAGCGAAGACAGATTGACCTGACAAAAAGAAGACAGCGGGCTGAAGGATTTCCGTTAAGGTGTTTCCGCCTGTTTTTTCGTACGATTCAGAGCTCGAATCCATTGTCTTGGGGCACCGAGTTCGGTCCGGATCTGTCAATATTCCCAGCAATACGGTATTTGATTATCCGGTAACTAATGGTGCAAATATAGAAAGTGGTAAATAGTATAGTTTGGTTTAGAGCTGGGACACAAATAGACCGAACGTCGGGACCAAGGTTACCCCAGTTGCCCACGTGGGGCAGGGCAATACCATTACATAATGTATTTGCTACGCTCGAGCGTGTTGCAAGTAGGAAGATATGTGGATCGCTGTTCCTGGGGGCCAAATACACTACCTTTATGTATTGCTCAATAATTCGAAATTAAACCAAAGGTTTTACAAGAATTTCTCCGAAAAGGCAAGTTACCGTCAATTACAGTCTATTTACAAAATAAGCCGCTTACGCAGGTGGCTCATGTACCCCCCCGGGTCCTACCTGTCCCTTTTTGGCCCCCATGGCAGATTGGCAAGAAACCCCCGCCCATGAATATTCCGAGAACATTAGAATAACCATTACGGAGTGGTTTGAAATTACCTAATTTTATTTAGTATGAAGACCAGAATAGTTGGCCGTTCATGCGGCCTCTATCCTGGACGAAGTAGAACCAATAATCTAATATATTTGGCTTAAGGTGGTGATATGAGAAACATTTTATTTAAACACCAGGAACAATCCCACTTTGAAGAAAGAAATTATAGGGGTGCGAATCCTCAGCTCAAATTTTACGGCGACATTATACCCCCAACTATCCCCCGCGCTCCATTCACGCTCGTAGTCGAGTTCTTTGGGATTCATTATCCATCCAGGAGGCGATGTCATCTTAGCGCTTTATTGGTATCAGTTGTGGTATACAGTCGATCATGGGTACCTAGGTATCCGTAGATGATGCAATGATATATCTATGTCCCAGAGTAGGTAAGGCTAGGTACTATATGGAAGATGGCAGGGTTCCTACACGATTGGCGCTAGCCATGACTCTGGCTTGATTGACAAAAGATCCTTGGGGATGGGATACAACTCTGAATCTGCAGTGGAGCTGGAGGTGAACGACAATTAATTGGCTATAACGAGAGATTTGACTCTTGGAAAAATCCACCGAGGATACCTAGGTAGATAGGCTGTTGAGTATTCAGAGTATATGCAGCCCTGGAGGTTACGTTTATCGATTGAGGGCCCGAGGTATAAATATTTGATGCCTACAATGCCTGGTGCCTTCTATAGTTTTCTTGTGGGTCTGAATATTAAACAAATTGCTGTTTTGTGTGAAACTTTACTAGTACCAAGGTTATCAAGTCACGATTACATAGTTGAAGAGATCGACGGTAAGTCACTTCTTGAAATCTATACCACTTTCCCGGGGTCCCTTGTTAATATGATTAAACGATGTCTCTCCTAAGCAACTTTCTGAACCATACTTTATCTCATTATCACTAACCGAATGCCCTAATACACAAAAGCAGATTGGGCCAATCTCGAAGCGGGGCTAGCTCGCATTTATATGTTGTATATTCTGATATCATCCTCCGTACAGTTCGAATCTCAACTTTCAGTAACCATAATTCAACTCCAACCAGACTATCAGCAGGTGGGAACTCATTTGCCACAGTATCCAATGCTTCCTTTAAATTGGCCTTTTTCATTTATCTTGCATGCTTCAACGTTGAATTGGAGGTTAAAGTAGAACAGTGAAGACGCCGAACAACTCTTCTATATATTACACTAATAAGAGATACAAATTATATATATAATGTTCCCATTATATGCAGAGGAAGTCATTTTTCAAAGCATAGTTTTTTTTTTATCAGATACAAAAATCCTGCAATTGGTGTTTTATAGCATGTGATAGCAAAAGTTCATATGGATCGCTAATCCCGTGTCGGCAATTGTTACTCAACTCTGAAGTGCCGACTCGAAACTGCTCAGCCACCGCATTGCTGTCATCGGTATCTACTCCGTACGAGGGGTGTCTCTCTATATACAAGGATTATTTCCTTACTGGAACCCCCGAAATTCCCTCCCCTTTTGTCGACGGGTCGAAGTGACGATTACATAAGCCACAAGGAAGCCGCGGGCGGGCTCCCACCCCAGTGCACCTTCAGGCACTGTCTCTGCCAATCACGCGGTGTCATATGCAGATCCCCCAGAAAGAACCGAGGTCGGGGCCACCGATCTAATTTCACCGAGATATGAAGTGAAACTGAGGCTTGTTGTTTTTCTTTTCGTTTTCTTTGCTGAGACCGGGTCACTTTGATTCCGTTCCTGAATGGCAACCATCAATGCCATCGCGTCGTAGTCACACGAAGTCTCGAAAGGGGTGTTTGGAGTGTAAAAGGAGACATGTAAAGGTCAGTGTCAACAATTTTGCTCCCCTGAACCCGTCGGCGTGTTGGATGTAGCTCAGGCGGCATTCCCGGACGGCAGTAACCCACCAGCTGAGATTCATATTCTGACACAACGGTCAGTGTGATGAGAGCATCCCAAAATGTACTCTGTGCAGGAAGCGAAAATTGGAGTGCAGATATCCTCCCCCAAATGAGGACGAAGACAGCCCCGGGGCATCATCCAGCGCCCATGATGAAACAGATAGTGGCACTGTGACCCCATCACGGGATTTCCCACAGGCAACACGCTTGCTTGAGACGAGATTATTCCACCAGTATATGACTTCAACATACCACACTTTGTCACAGGATGGACTATCTGCACACCATCTCTCCATGACGATTCCTCGCATGGCTGCATCTTGTCCTTACCTGCTTGACAGCATCCATGCATTTTCAGCCTTACACTTGGCCTCGATTGAGACTGATAATCGGGCTTTATGGCTGAATCATGCCGTGCAATATCAGAGCCAGGCATGCGCTGGATTGAGCAAGGTTCTTCCGGAAATCTCACCGCCAGATTATGAACCCGCATTCGTCTCGTCTATCATCATAATGCTTTTCGCCATGGGATCTCGAGTATTATCCCTTGAAACACGACCTCTGGACCCGCTTTCGGTGGTTCTTGAGGCTCGCACATTGATGTCTGGCCCCGCCATGCTTCTTTCCCGGATACTTGAAGCCGGGGTTGACTCGCAGCTGGATGGATGGCTGTGCGCTCCTGACACACAAGAAATTCTCGAAGCTGGGAAACATGATCAGTATGGAACTCCTTCTCTCTAGCTCATTGGCGAAGGCTGGATGATAACACGAAATAGCGGCAGCTACCCGGTCGAGAGCACAAACATATTATTCACCCTCCACAAGTATGTTCCACTAACGTATGGAGTGACGGTGTAGGGCTTGCGAAGCTGATTATCAACACAGAGACATAGTAACGTCGCTGGTTCGACTTCATTCGATTATTGACACAAGAAAAGGATCGGATCAACCGATCTACCTAGCCACATGGCAGCAGCTTCATCAGGCCATCGAACCGTGGCCAAAAATCGGACCGCATGGCGGCCCGCTTGCATGGCCCTTATTCCTCTCCGACAAGTTTTCCTCACTACTCAAACATGGCGACTGGATTGCCCGAATTCTGTTTCTACATTTTGGCATCGCTATGCGTCTCTTGTGCCGTCGATGGTATGTGCGCGACTGGGGTCGTCGGCTGGTGTTAGCCACGCTGGAAGCACTGGATAAGGTTCCTCAGGAGTGGGAGGAAACTATTTCTTGGATAAGACGAGCCGCTGCAAGGGAAGACTAGCCGCGGGATTGATACCATGTTGAGCATGCGTGGGGTATAGAGTACTTGGGTTATAGATTGGGGTAGTTTATTCATAACAAAGGATAGGTCAACTAATGACCGAATCATATCGAAGGGAGATAAGATGCTATGTATGGAGTATGGCGTTTGATCCTACTGATCCCGAAAAACCCCCGAGCCATAACATTTGCTCCCGACAGCTACCCGACAGCTTATCAGCGGGGGTCGGGGTTTTAGAACACACCGCTACGCAGTAAATTAAACGTCTTAGAAGAGGATCTTCTAATCTTTCAAAATGTTCCATCCGTCATTTCCTTTCTTCATTCCTTATCTCTCGGTGCTGGCTGCATTCGCCAAGCAACCTGGAGCCCGCTGATCCTATACAAAAGCGTCGGGACGGCCTCCAATCGCAATATGCACCACCCCTGTCCGATCAGCCAAGATGTGGAGAAGGTAAATCTATCTTTTCCCCTCTCGTTTACGACCTCATTTGAGCCCGGGTTGAGAATATTAATATCGGAGACTGTAACAGCTTGAGGCCTTACCAGCTTCTTCTTCTCCGGGACCTAGTCTTGCGCAACATTCTATACCACGGAGGAATTGGAGGCAGACCCTTGTCAACATGTCGCGACCAATCAAACTCGGATTTTTGGCGATTTTATCACTGCTATTGATCGCAATTCATCTGCCCAGTGCAAACACCTCCCCCTTAGAGTTCTCCGAGCGAGACCCGAATGCCGACCTCGGGTCGCATGGTTTAATTGGCCCTGGAAAGCTGGGCGCTGTTGCTAGCGAAAGCTCGGTCTGCTCCCGTCATGGATCTGATATTTTGTTGAAGGGCGGAAACGCTGCTGATGCTGTGAGTTTACCTATCCAGGTGGATTTTGGGGTGAATCTCGGTGCTGAGATGACATAGTTGGTTGCAACCGAATTTTGCATTGGTGTCGTAGGTGAGGCAGCATTCATTCGGTCAATAATTGTATCTGAGCGTAGCTAACGGAGACCAGGGATGTACCACAGTGGAATCGGCGGAGGTGGCTTCATGCTCGTGAGATCATCAAATGGCGATTACGAGTTCATTGATTTCCGAGAGACGGCGCCGGCTGCGGCATTCGAGGACATGTACAAAAACAACGAAGATGCTTCCATATACGGCGGACTGGCAAGGTAAGACGAATACGCGGAGCTGATGGGAGCTAAGCTAACAGCTATACAAGTGGAGTACCGGGCGAAGTGCGAGGTCTTGAGCATCTCCACAAGAAATACGGCTCGCTTCCATGGTCGACTGTTGTCGAGCCTGCTATCCGCACAGCCCGTGACGGATTCCCTGTCACAGAGGATCTTGTCAAATACATGAAATCTGCCGTTGGCAGTGGAGAGGACTTCCTATCTAAGAATCCCACGTGGGCAATTGACTTTGCTCCGAATGGAACCAGGCTTGGGCTGGGCGATATCATTACCCGACGCCGGTATGCGGACACCCTCGAGGCTATTGCACAGCGTGGCGCGGATGCATTCTACTCGGGCCCTATCGCCGAGGCTATGATCAATGCGGTCCAGCGCGAAAACGGCACAATGACACTCGAAGATCTTAAAAATTACACTGTGGCTATTCGGGATATCTCTCAGATAGACTACCGTGGGTACAAGATCACGAGTACGTCGGCCCCCTCCAGTGGCAGCATCGCCCTGAGCATTCTGAAGATCCTTGGGACATACAAGGATTTCTTCACGACTGAAAAATCTGTGAATTTAAGTACCCATCGGTTGGACGAGGCGATCCGATTTGGATATGGCGAGGTATGAATGACCGACTATTATTCCACCCGTGGACTCTGGTCAATGGTCGCTTACATGAAACGCAGAGATCTAATTTTGGCGATCCCCTATTTGTTGACGGCTTGGCCGACTATGAGAAGGAGATCTTGGATCAGTCTACAATTGATGACATTCGATCTAAGATCTCGGATGTGCGGACTCAGAACGTATCTGCTTATGATCCAGCGGGACTGGAAAGCCTGGACACGTAGGTCCTATTCGATATATCATTCTCTGACATTAAGCTAACTGCGCATCAGCCCTGGAACTTCCCATATCGCAGTAGCTGACCACACTGGCCTTGCAATCTCCGTAATCACCACAATCAACCTATTATTCGGTAGCCAGGTCATGGTCCCAGAAACCGGTATCATCATGAACAACGAGATGAACGGTATGTTGAGAAAGCCAGTCCTAGGTCACGGAGTTAACTAACATGTTCACAGATTTCTCCATTCCTGGATCGTCAAACTCATTTGGATACATCCCCTCCCCATCCAACTACATTCGCCCTGGAAAACGCCCTCTGTCCTCCATCACGCCCGCGATAGTTGAGCGACCCAATGGCAAGCTATTTTTGATTGCGGGATCCGCAGGAGGAAGTCGTATCATCACTGCCACCGTCCAGAGTATCATTCACTCCATTGATCAGGGACTCTCCGCCGCTAAAGCGTTGGCCAAGCCCCGTCTGCATGATCAGCTGGTGCCAAACCAGGTCAGGTTCGAATACAGTTATGACAACGCAACTGTTGCCTCTATGAAGGCACGCGGCCATAACGTTACTTGGGTTGCTCCGGGACAGAGTACTGCCCAGTTGATTCGGGTCTTGCCCAATGGAACATTCGATGCTGCTGGAGAGCCGAGGCAGCTCAACTCTGGCGGGTATTCTGTATAGAACGGGATATGTTGGCACTGTGGATGCCAAAGTACATACATTGTCAAACGCGTGTCAGGGTACAAAAGCATCACTATAAATAGACAAACCGATCTAACAAGTTCAACTCTTTCGCAAATGCAGTCCTTTGTTGTAGATTCTTTGACAGGGGGTAGATTGGCGTTTCTTTATCTGATGGTCTGTGCTTTCGATATTCCCTTTTTGATGTAGACAGCTCCAACTTAACTTAACCTTTTCCCCTCCTTTAAAAGTCTAGACTGACGTAAAAAGTTGATCTGAACTCTTCCCTTCCTTAGTTTTGTTTTAATGGTTTTATTGACACGACATCGCGTCACCTTATCAAACTTACACGTGAATCGACCTCCCCGCGTCAAAGAAGCTAGGAAGCTTTACTCGCGATTTCCCCGAGACTAGGACGCATTACATTCGCATAGGATACTCGCTGGTAGTTTCTCTTGCTCTTTGTTTGTCTTTGTGCTTTGTATTAACCAGATGGCTTTTCATCAAAACAGTTCACACTCAATCCAAACGCTACCGCGATATGTCTGCAAACCCTTCGAGATTCACCAACTTCCTACCCTAGGCAACCTACCATCTACTGTGGTATCAGGAATACAATGGCTCGACTCAGCAACGTCTCCGTTGTTGTTCCCCTTCCATCCTTCGATATTGATCCCCTCAGGACCTTTGACGAAGACTTCTTTGATCGTGCTGTTGACAACATCTTGTCAGAGGAGGCGAGCTTCGAAGAATCCCGGGACGAGATGATGGACGGTAACACTGGCATATCGAGTCCATTTGGGTATGACGGTGCGTCTGACTCCTCGAACCTCAACGTTCGTCGTAGCCAAAGGACCGGAGCCAACTCGGCGCATTTTTCTACAACATCAATCCCATCACCCACAACCACCTCGGCAAATAAGCCGAAGTCGAGAAGGTCTTCCAGAATACGAAAGAGTGTTACAATGGAGGATGTCAATGCTCATGGTGAAGCTCCTATGAGCCTCGAGAACATCACACAACCTCAGCGTGTGGAGGAAGTCCTACAAGTTGAACCTTATCCCGTTCACAAAGCTGGCGATCACCCTTCTACAGTTCCTAAAATTACCAACTCGGCGGCAATGCTGACTGATGACTATGGAATGACGGCGGAAGAGAAGATCTTTGCTTCGGTGGACTCCGAAAAGCAGATGGAGGTGTTGAAGTTCGTTGTATCACACTCTTTCATGACGGAGCCAGTCCAACATGTTCGACGTTCGGCCCGGCGAGAATTCACTGGCCAAGTGCGTGGGGTCGCCGCAGAGGCTGGCATGGACGACATAGCTATCGATGCTTTGGTCGACCACGTTCGAAAGATCTACCTTGAGGACCGTGGAATTGCGGTAGCCGATGATGCCGGCTCTGCATTTGGGGACGAGGTGGACGGTGAGGAAAAAGCACATACTAAGAGCTCGCACCGGAAACGGCGCAAGAGCAGCTCGGGCCAGCCCGAGGACAAAGAGCACAAGAAAAGCAAGAAGCGACACTCGGATAAGGCAAGACGGCACAGCCATGATGCTATGCAGCATGATGAGCCAAACAAGGTTGTGGAAACTCATGTCCCGGCAGGTGTTTTCACTAACGGCCAGGACAATGGCTACGTTGAGCTGGAGGAACCGAAACGTAAGGACAACACGCCGGATCTGCCTAAAATGCCTACGAACATCATTCGGGGTAGCCCCAGCGCACCCATCGACCTGACCCACTCTACTCCTCATCACGAGTTCGCCCGTGAAGCTGATGTGGTTCCATCTCATGCCCAAAAACTTGATGTCATCCGGGAGACCAAGGATCTTCAGGATAGCACCAAAAAGGCTATCACGCCTCACTTGTTACCCGATGCCCCGACGGAGATGATTCAGAGTCCATCACCTGAACAAGTTGAACGAAAACCGTGGAAACGTCGTGAGCCAGGAAAAACATCACAGAGAGACAAAAACAAGCGCAAGCGCGAACGGAGGAGGGAGCGCAACAAACATCGAATCAAGTTGGGTGGACAGCAACGCCCTCAAGGTGACTCAGTCGATAGAGCAGATCAAGACTCAATTCCGCCTCCCATTCCGCAAGAAACCTCTTCCGATAGCCCAAATGGAAGCAGACGGAGCTCCAGTCAGCTTCCGCTACCCGCCGATCCATCCGAGTGGACGATGGATTTTTGAATACCAGTGATTTGCCAGGTGTGACTCCAAGTGATGAGGTTCAATCGAAGTATTTCTTAGGAGCCGGCAACCCCAAAGTTGGCTCGAAAAACAAGCGGGAAATGACTTCTTCCCTGTATGATTTGTCTATCCCACCCAAAACCCGACAGCTGTTGAAAGATCTGAATCTGCCCCCAGACTTCTTGTCGTCAGATTCTTCCTTGAGTGATGCGCCGAGTGATTTTGATTCCAATTCGGATGATTCAGATGAACCCCGGTCGCATGTTCATATCAAATTATCACCTCCGAAAAGCCCCCGTCTTGTTCCCCAATTCACAAACCCCGACCCCCAAACCCCTGTGAAATCTACCTCTTTCATTAACCCAGAACTTATTAAAACCCCCCAAGTCAAACCCTTGAAGCATTCTCCTTATTTCCCACGTGTCCCAGTTGATCCTGAATCATGCCTCCCGTTCCCCCCTATCGAAGCATCCTCTTTCGGACTCATCCAGGAGCAGCTTGCACATGACCCCTTTCATTTACTAATTGCAACCATTTTTCTCAATCGAACCCGCGGGGGTGTTGCCCTGCCGGTTTTGTTCAAAGTGTTTGAACGATACCCTACGATTGAGGCGATGGCCGAAGCAAACCCACCGGAACTTGTATCGATGATAAACTGCCTAGGCTTTCAAAACCAACGTGCAAAGAAATGCATCACATTGGCACAAACATGGCTATCAGACCCCCCGAACAGAAGCAAAAGATATCGCAAGCTCCACTACCCACGAAAGCTTGACGGTCGAAATGTTGGCCGTGAAGAATGCATTGATGAAGAAGATTTGCGAGTGGCATGGGAGATTGCACATCTACCAGGAGTTGGAGCATATTCCCTTGATAGCTGGAGGATCTTCTGTCGCGACGAATTACGGGGGAAAGCCTCTGACTGGAAAGGGATGGATGCGACAGAGGTCGGGTTTGTGCCTGAATGGAAGTGCGTTCTGCCACACGACAAGGAGCTACGTGCTTATCTTACATGGATGTGGCTAAAAGAAGGATGGATTTGGGATTACAACACTGGTGATCTGACACTTGCGAGTGACAAGATGATGAGAGCTGCGCAGAGTGGAGGAGTTGCTCGTGAAGAAGAGGGGAATTGGGTACTAGAGACCTCCCCCGTCAAGGCTGTGAATGGATTACATGAATCAGATTGATTCCAAGTGTTGATGTACATGATACTCTGAATATCAAGTTTTCAAATCCACATACTTGTATACGTTGTTGCCTCAGCCAGTAGAAATTTGTGCTCCCTCAGCAAGTTTTCAGCTGAGAGGGCTATGTACTCTATATATATATCTCTCTCTCAGGATCCGATTTCAGGCTTCCATGCAGCAAAACCACGTCAGTTAAAAGAGCGGGGCGCAGATTGCTCACCGCATAATCGCATAGTGCGCTTCTTTCCACTTCCAACAATTCCATGCGTCGTACCTGAATGAGGTTATTCTTGTCTTTTCTTTTTTCGACTCATATCCCTTTCTTTTCCCCAAACCCTAGACACACGGAATGCCGGATTGGTTGCCGCGCATTGCAACGTTAAGCGACCAGTCACAACCAGTCACGGCCCGAACTAAGCGCCAGGACAATTGGAGACAAAAATAGGATCACATTCCCCTCAGTGGCGGTACAAGCCTAGACAGGTAACGACTCTTTCGCGCGGTCCTCAACACGATACGGATTTCGCCATGTTTCCTGTTAGACTAAACCGCGACGATAGGAAGTCGAAGACCGTCAAGGCTAAGACAAACAAAACAAACAGAAAGACCTCAACCAAGGACCCAGAGGATTCTACCACGGCTCGCTCATCAACTTCCCAACGCAGGTCCTCCATGCCTGGACTCGAGAGATCGGAGACCTCGTTCCTTGAGTCGAGAACTAGTCTACCGTATCCTACTTTCTCTAAAGCTCACAGCAAGGAAGGTGTCCGAGCCAGCATCCCTACACCCGACCCGACCGATTTGACACATGACGACGGGAAGAACGGTCACCGCGAGAACCACCATGCGCCTCCTAGCCCGCCCCTAACTGGTCTCGACCAGGAGTCGAGGAAGGGTAGTATCGTCAACGAGGATGAGAAGGAGGCAGACAAACCCAAGAGGAAAACAAATATAAAAATCAGAGCCTCCGAGGTCAACAGGTCCTCGTCAAGTCTCCGGTCTAAACGCGATGATAGCACCAAGTCCAAGTCCAGCAAGACGTCGCGAACAGAGACCCCTACAAAATCCAGACCTAAGGAAGAGAGTGAAGCTTCGCCTCGGTCATCAAGCCATAAGTCCAAGACAAAGGTCTCTGATGATAGGAAACTACCCAAACGGTCGAGTCGCTCGACGATGTCTGCCTCCCAGTCGAACGTTACGCTTCGTGATGTCGGCGCAGAGTCAGTCAACGGGTCCGACGCGACGTCTATTGCGCCTAACCAGCAGCATTCGGTGCCACGAAAACCCTTGACCCCACCTACGAAGCCTCCTTCTCGAACCCAGAACCGATCGGCCATGTCCCATCGTCGCACTGCAAGTGACGAATCGATCGATTTTGTGAAACCAGTGAATCCGAATTCGTTTGGCGCACCCCCGCCGCCCCCACCTCCGCCCGAAATGCCTGCTACTATCCCTAGAGTTGATTACTTGCTGAAAAATGGTGGTCTCGAAAATAAGGTCTCTAGGGCGCTGCTGACTAGCCTCGGGCAGAAGGATCCATTCTCGCAAGGACAACCTCAGTCCCGGGCTATCGCTGGCAAAATCTTCGATCCATATAACCGTTTACTAGACGACTACCAAAAGGTCATGAGTAAGAATGGATCTCTCGCTGTCGCAACAGGCTACCGGTCTGTCGCCCGCCGTTTATTGGACCGTCTCGAAGCCGTGTTCGCGCGCGACATCTCATCCGAGCCATGTAGCTGCCAGATATGCGACCAAGCGGACTCAGACGATCGACCAGATGGAGTGAGCTGGGGCGAGGTTTTGGAGCTCGTGTCTGGCCGCAGGGAACTCCCCATGTGGCCTCCCTTCACAATGGCACCAACCACCGTGGATACTGGTGCGCCAGGCGATGAGCATGTTCCAATGCAGAAGCTCGACGTTGACGTTCCTGAAGAGTACCGCGAGCACTTCATCCGGCAATCTCGAAAGACGAAGGTCGCTGTCGACAAATGGCTTTACGAGCAGAATGATCCAGGCACCAGCGCCCCTAATGAGGTCGACGATGAGACGTTAACCTTTGCCATGCTCACGCATCTAGAACCCCACCAGCGCTCATTGTTCTGCTCTTTGCTCGGCATCAATTCTTCTACTCCTGTCCCGCGACCTAGCGACGAACGGCCCCGACCGAAACCTGCCGCGCTTGTCTCATCGGCCTCTGCCATCCAGCGTCTTTACCGACTATCCTCCCTCCCTCGTGACCCCGAAACCGCTATGTACATGCTGAATAACCCTACCCTCCACCATGTCCTCGCCACCCTCTCCGCTATCAGCGATGACGAGTGGGAGATCCTCATCTCTGGCCGCTTCGACGGATTCCTCCGCAGTGGCGCAGAAGACACAGGTCCCACTGCGAATGCCGCCGGGGGGCCTCGTTGGAACGGCAGTCGCTCCAACACACCCTTGGGCGGCGGTATCTCCCGAGGACCGACACCCAATTACATGGACGGCAGCTTCCGACCGTCAAGCCAAGTCAACGGCGCACCTTCAACCCCCGCCTCATTCGGCGGCCCAATCGCCCTCGACGAGGAAACTGAAATCGCCGCGTTAGCAGAAGTCGAGCGCGACATTTTCCTCGGAATGGAAGCCCTCGAAGACGCTTTCGAAGCCCTCCACTGCAAAGCCGAAGTCGTGCGGCGCGCACTACGCGAACGTGGCGCCGGCCTCTCCGTAGCAAACCAAAGCCGCCGTGGCTCGTTCGTCGAAGCGCGTCTAGGCACGCCCTTCTCGGGCGTCGGTACGTGGGAAAGCGGTGGTGAAGACGACTTCCTCGACGACGAGCGCTCTCTTGCGCCCGATGACTCGGCCAGTAACATCAGCTCGAACCGTCGTCGCCGACCTAAGAGACGCACTGAGCGACGCACACCTGCGCCTGTCGAGGAGGAAGACGAGGAAGATGACGGTCTTGGTCGTCGGGATACGCGAAACTCGAGGCGGAGATAGATCAGTACCGGGATGGAATGGGAATAATTCTTTTCGATTTATGATCTACGTGCAGCGTTGGAATCATTCGAGGACCGTTTGCTGGATAGCATGGGATATGGATATAACTGTTGCTGTCGCAATGGGCTTGAGGAACTCATGATACCCCCCCTCCCCTACTCTCTTGTCCTGGGTGTTTTTACTATGTTTCGAGCTTGTTATTTTTGCATCTTTTTTTCGCGCTTGGCCTACTGCCTACCCCCCTTTTTATATTTTGTTCTTTTGATGATTTATGAATGCCATGAGCTTCCCTCCCACGACCTAATGCCTGGCTGTACGTTTAGGCTATGATACAAGTTTGATTTAGCATCTCTCACCGGATGGATCATTAGCATTGTGCAATATAAGCGAACTGGATTCAGGCATTGCAATGAACTATAGGAGACTATAGACAAATGCAAACAAGGGGAAAGCGATATAAGGATCCACAGCAGCCTATGTCCATGGCTCTGCATCTAGCTGAGCTTTAAGTCCGTTAACGCGACGGTTGGCTCTAATGGAAATCCCAATCATGCGACCACGATTAACCCTTTGGGGCGAGGAGGCGTTACTAGTAGGGATATACTGTAACCTCGCTCTACTACACACTGCAGGGGTAGTCCACTAGTAGTATGACTTACGTATCCCCGCTTGAGTCCAAAGTGAATGCGCCTACGGAGTACAGATATGTATCCAGATCGTGTATATATATTTCGTATGACTCCGTGCTGTAGCATTATTTGTATACTCCACACCACTCAGCTCGATATCTTACAGTTGTTATGGTCGAAATTGGCTAGATGCGCTACAGTCATGCGCTTTCCTACCACAACAACCCAGGCTTTTAGCGCCGCCCTGGCTAGGCTAGCTGGGGTCTGTCAAAGAGGCTCATATGTACTAAGCCAGCACCCTATTCGGCCTAGCCTTAACGAGACCTTCATGTTTAAACCCAGTAGTGTCAATCAAGACACACACTGCCACCCATGCCAACCATACTATCGCTGTAATGGAAGCCAGAACACAGCTGTCCACCGAAAAGCCCATAATAGAAAGAGTAGTTGATATAGAACGCGACGTAGAAATAGCATGACATACGAAGGGCCACTCGTCATCAGCTGCATCTTACGACATTTTACGACATCATCCCACCGAATGGACCTCGTTCACTAGGCGTACAGTACATGGATGTTGTGGTGTAAATTACCGATAGTAAGTCTGTGCAAGTGCACGGCATGGGCCCCGGTCTCGGCGACAAGCTTCCGTCCGATGAACAGGTGATTTATGGCCATCTCCAGGCTCTCTTTGCTGATAGATCGGTTCGCCGGTAAGGAACTGGATGGAGGCCGATGATGTCGGAGACGGCGCATTCCACCAAAGATGTGATGGGCACCTCGGATGTTATTCGAGAGGATCGAGATCTCAAACAGTACCTGACAGACGCTGTTCGATGACTTACTATTGTCCTTGCGATGGATCGCTCTATGCGTCAGAAACGTACGATTGACATCTTGCGACGACTCTTTATCTCTAAAATGAATAGTAACGTATCAACGCACCAATGTTCAGTGCCTTTCAAGCCTTTCCGGCTCACTCACATCGATACTAAAGGAGTATAGGCCGAGTATAATAAATCATCAATTTAAATATATAATAGAGTGAGATAGATGGAGGGCAATACGGGAAATAGAACGAATGGACGAAATAAGTAGAGTGAGCACTCTATCAAAGCACAATTGATACTATAGAAGGGCGATTTTCCATAACCAGGAATTGCACATTAAATCACAACCTTGATCCTACGACTTTCAATGAAAGTGGAAACAATCATCCACAGAGGCGAAACCGTAAACTAACCGCAAAAGGCAACTGATAGGGTTGTCATGTACTCCGTACCTACACTGCAGAGTGCAAAGAATGCCCAACGTGAAACCTTTTGTGGGTTTAGCCCGCTGTGGGACGTGATTGAAAATCCTTCTTCGCCCCGTCTCGGACCTCGGCATCTTATATCCTGCTACTCCATCCCCTGTCCAATGGGCCAAGCTGCATAAGTGAGTTCCACTACTACCCACTGCGGTTTATGTATTCCTCACCGACACGTACTTTGTACCAAAATGACAGACCGGGATTAACCTGCTTATGGCTATTCATACCCTTCTACCGTGAAACTGGTGGAGACAATGCATTACTGGTGCGTTCAGAGGTATCCACGGGATTTTCCTTTTCCGTAAGCGTCGACGTACTTTTAGCTTTTTGTGCAAGTAGATCTGTTGATGTTATTTCGGCCTGCATGATGAGTATACACTACCCCGTATTTCGTATGCACAACAGCAATAATAACTTTGGAAGAACTATTGGCGATCACATGGCACACGGGCCAGGAGTGAAAGGACTGGTAGGGTCGTATCACTAGAGGGGATCTACCCAATAGTCTCTATTCGCTACTTACCACCACGATGTACGGAGTAAAACCTCCGTATATATGGGGTACAGAAGATGTTAATGTAGATCACTAGGCGCCCGAGTCGCAGAATTCGGAGATCCCAGAGACGATCATACGCTATTGATTAGCGAAGTCCCATGGTACAGTATGATTTGAGTGATTTTAGGCAGGTATTACGCTAGTTAATGGTCGATAGGCTAAGGCCATAAGGTTATTATGTTAGTGTCTTCACCAAAATAGGAAACTTGGCCCCCCAGTCGAATTTTTAGATATGACAGGCTGGTGTGTATGCACGTACACGGCTCGGAACAAAGCGCTAGGGCGAGTATATACTTTCCACAAGAGTAAAAATTGGATTATTGATAGATTGATTGGCGTATGTCTTAGACCGGTTTGGGTTGTTATTCCACAGTACGCTCCATCTTGATAAGGATGTCTTGTTAGATATGTATGTTTCAGAGATCATAGATCATATATTGCAACTGCTCTAACCTGAGCCGGGACCTCGGGATGCCGTTCCTGCATTAAGTGACTGGATACTCCGTGCTCCATAGTGGAGGTTATAATATCCCGGCTACATATTTATGCTGTATATACAACATAGTTGATTCCGAGGAGAAGACGAAGAGGTAAAACAAGGTTAAGGGGGGTTACCCCGAGTTCCGCCGGTAGAAGCTAATGGAACAATAGCCGGCGAACTGAGTTTTTTATTTTTATTTTTTTTATAGCGGACCGGTTAAGCTTTCATCTCATTCTAGTATATGGAATTATTTCCAAACCTGGGCCTTGGCCTATACACACAATGTGGTCGGTGCTGCGCTGGAATTTGGATCGGCAATGAGCGGAGCAAGGATAGTCGTGGAAAGAAATCCCGTTGGAATGAGACACGGCGTTAACGGCGTTTCAACCCCGCGAGGCTTCTAAAATATCCAAGGAAGTACTCCGTCTGTGCAGCATATTCTGTACGCGAGGATATCAGGGTATTGTTTTACGTTCGGGGGTACCTGACAGCCAGACAACTGAAAGCTGTCAACCAGAATTTGGGTGCAATATAAATTGGGATGCTCCCGATTACCCCTGAGGTACATCTGAGACAGTTCCAAAATGTGTTACCTTGTGGACTTCCCGCCTTAACTCGGGGGTAAGATTCCTTCCTTGGCGGGCCATGCCTACTCCATGATCGCTGCGGCTCTAAACCAGACCGTGCTGCCCGTGGTGCGTAATCATCCTTTCAGCGATTCTACTCTGTTGATCCCATCTACTTGGGGAGAAAGTCTCCACTAATCCGTGCTAATTAGCTGGAATCATACTGGACACGAGCAGTCTCCTTTATCCAGTCTATCCAGTTTTCTCGGCATAAACATCCGTGTTAAATTAAACCGGCAATAGGCGACCAAACAAAGACCCGCGTGATTTCCCCAATTGACATTCTTTCATGCAGACACGAGAAAACCTTTCCGTCCTGTCGACTCCATTTAAAACCGGTGATTTTCACTTGTGGTTGGAGAGTCAAGAGGCGGATCGAAGCTTAACCTGGCCCAATCGCATGGCCAAGAGGTTGAAGTGTCCACAAATGTCCACCGGTGCTAAATAATCCTTTTGTCTTTTTGACGTTCAACAACTTTCTCCCGTCTTCTGCATCCGGCTTATTTTGTGCGGGGTGGATTCATGAAATCATTTCTTCCTGCTCGTGTCACCCTGGTCCACACCCCCCCCCTGGGTCGCCCACATTGTGCTTTGTATTCTTTTTCTTTGGATGGTATTGAATATGATATATCCCTCCACTGGTCAATTTGATATTGTAACCTTTGAGCGGTTCGGGAAAGAGTCTGCTGGTGGCTTTTATAAAATACGGGGGATATTTTTTCAACATGGAGTACGGAGTACAAATAATAAACTCGTCCTAAATGAACCCCGCTAGTGTTCCAGAAGCCTCGCCCCTGCAGTGAACATAGTGTACTAGCGATCCGAGGCCCCCTGTCAATGGGCCGGGCCAACGTGTGCTTTGGCCCTGAGACGGAGAACACGAAGCTCGTGGGATCTGGATGAATTTTGTGTCTTAATGGTTCTAAAAATTGGGGGTGTGTCTTTTTCTCATGCAACGACGTTTCTAAACGGCGAATGTCCTTTGATTTGTTATTTTTGTATGCAACTAGGCAGTTCGCCTTGTTTATCGAGTGGACTAGTACGGAGTAGACTAACCAAGCTAAGGTTTGCGGCCGTTTTATTCGACATCTCGTGGCAAAACTTGCGTCCTTTTACCCACCTGAGCGTCGCATATGGCCTAAAGGTAGGCTAAATAGGGTAAGTGGAGCACAATATACGTTGTATACAGGGATTCACGGCTCTGGACCGTGAACTATTATGGAGATCGCACCGTCTCTCCCAATTGTCCATCTTTCCCGCAAAGAATTCCACTCTTCACTCAAACTTGTCGTGGATCACCCTGTTATTGACCGATAAAGAGACCAAATGGGTTTAAGTCCCATTTTTCTGTATTTGCCTATCAAATTTTGAGTTCAATCAGGCTTGGGTGCTGTTTCTTGGTTCTTTCGCATTGCCTCTGGCTTTCAACTTTTATGCCTGCCTTTCTCCTTCCCGAGCTATTTTTTTTATCTTCCATTGCAGGCAGTTCATGGGGTAGGTGGTGTTTAGCATATTCAGCTCGCACTCGCGTCGGCCTTACATATCGCTTTTCGTTGCCCGGTGTCGATCAGATTCTGGACCCCAGGAACGTCATCTTGCAGATTTTGATTCTACCATTCAACCAGGCAATGATAGCAGACCCTGGAAACTTGGAAACTGAAAGGAACCGACAAGACACTCCACCATGTCGACACTCATTCTCATGGGCTTGATGCCTAGAAACAATGAGCACTCATTGGCAGCTCGATTGACCAGCTCCGTCGAACTTGATATCGACCCTCTCCCAGAATCGCATCGACGAGGTCTAATAGCAATCGCAGTTATGGCCTTCCTATCTCTCATTGCAACATCAGTACTCCTCGGTTTCATCACCTATCGACTTGTTTTTTGGCGCGGCAGCTATGCACGTTACATCGGTTACAACCAGTACATCGTTCTTATCTACAACCTTGTCCTGGCAGATTTCCAACAGTCGCTTGCATTTATTATTTGTTTACGATGGATTCTGATAGACAAAATCGAATCTGGTTCCGCCGGATGCTTTCTCCAAGGGCTATGGCTGCAAATTGGAGACCCCGGCAGTGGTCTGTTCGTGCTTGCCATCGCCTTCCACACATTCCTTTTAGTCGTCTGGGGACGAAAAATGCCCTACAAGTACTTTGTCTGTTTTGTCGTTGGTGTCTGGGCCTTTGTGGCTTTAATGGTAGTGATCCCATTGGCAATACATGGTGCCAACGTCTTCGTGCCTTCCGGCGCCTGGTGCTGGATCAACGATGAATTCGAGACCACCCGTTTATGGACTCACTACATTTGGATTTTCGTTGCCGAATTCGGCACAGTCATTCTCTACGCCGTGATGTACTTCCAACTACGTCGGCAGATCGCCGCCTCCGCCATCCTCGGCAACAGCCAGCTGCAGAGCCTCAAGCGCCTGCGCCGCGTCGTAGGCTACATGACCATCTACCCAATCGTCTACATCATCCTATCGTTACCGCTCGCAGCAGGCCGCATGGCCACAGCTGACGGCGACGCACCCAGTATAATATTCTTCTGTTGTTCCGGCGCCATCATCACCAGCTCCGGGCTGGTCGATGTCATTCTATATACCCTCACCCGCCGCAACCTGATCATTGACTCCGAACCCAGCCAGGACCACTCCTACAACATGTTCACCGGCAGCAAGGGCAAGCGAGGCGGCGAGACCAACTTAACCACCATCACTGCCGATCCCAAGCGCAAAGTGGGCGGCACTTTCAACGATGACCTTGACCGTGATGGGTCAACGGATAATATCGTTTCGCCCAGCGCACACGGCCACCACAGCCATGATCATGAAATGACCCCGATCGGAAAGGTGTACCAAGAAACCACCATTGAGATCACGCACGAGCCTGCTTATCCCAACGAGGTGTCCAGTGAGC